CAGAGTCAGCAGTAGGACTAGTAGGTGTCAGCAGAGTGATTTGAAAGGGGGTTGTTTAGGTGCTCAAGGCATTTGGGCAATCGGCAGCCGGAGAACATTCATTTTTGGGTAGTGTGGGTTGTGAGCCTACATTACTTTTGTAGGTTCGCCGTTGGTTAACAGTCTTTTCTGATACTATCCTGGCGCTCCCAAGTTTAGTACTGACAATTATAGGGTCACATGGACTGATAGACTGGGCAGCCCTTTGTCGACCGTCAGAATGAAATAGAACTGGGCAGCAGTATTTCTGGTATTTTTTCGAGAGCCTAAAGCAACTGCATGGAATAGCTAATATGTCAGGGATAGCGTTAAGAAGTAATTTCTTTGCGATATTTATGGGCATTTTGCCTGGGACATTGTATATAATTGCTCCCTGGCCGGCTGCTATGGATTTTATGACTTCGAAAAAGATGTACTACCTGTGAGATTCGTGGCAAATTTGGTGGTCAGTAGCTTTAGAGGTGTAGTATCCCGCATATCTTGTGCCATATCCGCTATTTTGACTGGAGTTGCATCAACTAAAAGGATCTTAGAACGGATTTCGTTCACTTACAGCTGTGGATCTTGGATAGTTTATAGGTTCGGAAATGGTTGAGAGTTCCTTACTGAGAATTATCAACTTGCATTCAGCCGTCCATACAATGCCTGGAAGATCTGTTACGGCTTCCGTCTGTGCACTAATGCTATCTACGGCTGTTTTAAGACAGAGATAACCTCAGCTACTGAGCCAATCATCAGGCTGCTCGTCAAAAGATTCGTCAGTTTTAACGTCGGTGTTGCGCCCTATTTGCATTGATGTAATCTTCGCCAGAACTCACATTTGTTTCATTCAATAAGGAAAGCAGGTTAAGAGTGGTTTTTTCACTACTATGAATTTCGCCGGGGCTTTTACAAGCGCGTTTATTTCGACCTACAGCTCAACGGAACCTCTTTCCGTTAGGGTGAGGTCACGGAAGTGTGATCAGTTGGATACGGTAAGTAGCACTGGGAAGGTTCATGCCAGTGGCCAGTTATGAATGCCTGTACAACAGCTTGCTGAGGCAACAAGAACTATTCAGAAGCCCAGAGATGTGAAGTTTTGTGCTATGTGAACACTATTGGTGAACAAAAGTGTAAAACAACAGCGAAAAACAGCGTAATAATAAACATAGAGTAGCTGCAAATTACGAACGTACCGCGGGTCTAGCATTACTGTCACTGAAAGCAAAAGTAGGGAAGAACACTACCACACACCATGATAAGCAACCGATTTCCACTTCGTATGAAAAATCCATAGTTTTTAACAGCCATGGCAAGGGGAACCACACAAACACATGAATCTTAGAGGCTGAAATATCTGAAGAGCAGGTTTGCTCCCTTGACCACTGGGTCCAAATTAATACAGGAAACAGTGGGACAAAAACATGAGAAACCAAGCCGAGTATCTTGCACCAAAAGGATAATTAAAAAGAATCCGTTATCTCTTTCACTATTCTGACATCAATGGACAGAAAAGGGTGACATGGGGAACTGAAATGATCACCGCAAAATATAAGGAATATAACGCTGCGGTAGGGTTATGTCATCTCTCTGGAGGGCAGAAAGCGGTTGGAGATGATCTCCTAGCCCATTAGGGCTTCGTCAGTGACAGGGGAGTGAGCAGAGAGTATGCCTTGACTGCCATGCCCAGCAGATATCATAAGTGTCTGCGACATATCTGTGAGGTCAGATAATCTATAAAACACCAACGAAGTAGGAAGGTAATCCACTCCTGGCGATTCGCATAAGTCAGCAGCCGTGGTGGTCTATAGAAAGCGTGGACTTGCGAGAACGTTACCTCATCGATTTTGAACACCTGGGACGATTAGCATCAAAAATAAGACTGGAAAGCCTACCAGTCAGTGGCGTTAAGATAGTTAGGAGACCGGTTTACCCGTAGAGCACTTTTATATCGTGGTTGCTAGCTATTTGCCTTGACTCAAATGTATCATTCACAGGAGCCCCTGCCGTACGGGGTCGTCTGTAAAACCGATGAAGAGCTGCCGGTTCACTAAAAAAGTTGCGAGAAAATTGCTGGAGCTGAGAACAATACTGCCACGTATTCAAGTGCAGAAACTTTTACCATGGAAACGTAGCCCTTATTAAAAATCTTGGACAGGGATACACGTGTGGCCAACAAAGTCATATTCAGGAAAGCCGAAGAGTTTTAGAACAGAGGGGTAAACGTCTACAGAAGCACTCATATAAAAGCCAAATAAGCAAAGCAGTGTGCTGACCTAATTTACGATTCCTCGTTGTGCCGTCCCAACATGAACCACACGGGATACCCTCTAAGGGTTCCACGTCGTTCGCCAATAAGCGTAGGAGAGCATGTGAAACAGGTGCTAATCGTAGCCATGGCATCAACCTCAGTGGCCCATGACTCCATGGTCCTCGCTGGTGACTGTAATAGGCTGGAGCTCGACAAGTGGTTGAAAATGAAATCCATGAATAAGTCTCTAACTAAGGGGCTTTGAGATGGCTTTATGGTAGTGAGAGTGATGGAAAAATTGAGGAGAATGTCCGCTGGAGACGTGATGGAAAAAACGCGGTTCGGTTACACTTTAATAGATGACTATCCCTCAGTAGACGATATCAGTGTTCAACCTTCCTCGGACAAAAGCGATCATTTGACAGCGAGATGTTTCTAGATGATCAAGGAAGAACCGCTGGTGGCCGAAACTCAAGCACTCCGTTGTTACTGGAAGGCGGAATACCAGATCACGAGGGGCCGCCTTCGGAATGCTTTATCGGCAAGAGAATACCACCTTATTTGATGGACGAACGCTGGTCGCATAACAAAGACATCATTTAGAACGTCACGTAAAAGAGCTGTCCGGAAGTAAACGGATGGTGATCTGACAAACGCTCTTGGGCGACTACAGCCACCCGAGGACAAATACTGAGATTTAAAAATGTGGCAAGGGGGGCGAGTCCGGTAAGGTGTTGGACTTTCCCAGTCGCGGGAGGTTACAGAGTCTACGTAACATAGGTGCTCGCAACAGCATGCCGGAATTTCCTAGCAACTTGGCTAAATAAGATGGGTTGCAACCCAAATGGGCCGCATCGCTTGACATCGCAGGAAAGCTGGTGAATACAGGTGTCGAACTTTATCACAGGATCGAAAAGGGGGGAAGTCTTGAGTGAAATGGTGACAGTAAGACTGTTGGGCACCGGATCTCAGGAGCAGCTCGGCCTAGTAATCCATCCACCACCAACGTCTAGCAACGCAACACAGTTACAGGACTATGATGCATGGCTGAGGGATGAACAGATTTTGTTAAGAGTTTTGAAACCTATCTACCCTCAGACTAAGAAAATCTCAAGTCAGTAATGACGTTAGACCGATGTTCCGACGGAGTAGTGCCAAAAGGCCGTGCGAAACCCTTTTATTTGTCCATTCACTCTCTGGGAGTAAGTCAACCTCTCAAAGGATGAGACAGTATGATCCTTTCAGCGGTCTTTGAGGAGATCATTGTTGTTGCCATCCAGTCTATTCAAGGTACTACGAAGCCTGACCGCATGTATTTCCCAGGGTTTTGGAAGAAGGGAGAACTTCACTAGTGCTACCCAACACTGATCCAGAGCCGGATTTTACGGCATAATTAGGTAGTAGAGAAATCTGTACTGGAGCGAACGGAGTTCATTTAGTTTGAATGAGCTAGAAGAACGATCCTTGGGCTACTCAATTCCCTATCCATGAACAGCCTCCCCACAAAAGAATCTACATCTGTCTTCGTGTTTGCCCATGATATCAAAACATAATTGGCAATCAGTGAGGAGGAAGAACCTAGGAGTCGCCCAAACGTTCTCTTGCGGTTGGAGCCCATGACGGCTGAAAATGGTTTGAGCTTCAAACTGAGGAAGTATAAAGTGATGTAAATTCAAACACCAGAAGCAACAAACTGCATTCACCGACATTACATGATCGCCTGGGTGTCCACTGGAAAGGGCCTAAGATAGACTTGTCAGACATGCTAGATACTAGGGCTAACCGTAAAAGAATGGCAGCAAGGTGAACATTGTCACGCACTTTCTAAGAGGTCTAATCGAATTCCTTTTCATAGAATTATTCTTCATGGTCTTTGAAACCTATACGAGACCACATTTGGAGGTATTTGACTTGACAAGACAAACGTAGACATTCTCGAGTGAGTATAGCGAAAAGTGTCAAAGTCACCAGAGAAGGGGTAGAACAGAATGACTCACTTATCTTCAGCCAGCAAAGAAAAAGAGGAAGCATAGGAGCTGACATGGCCATACACCAAACGAACCGCATTAAGACGACAACATTATCTACTGTATAGACCCGGCCCCTCTCATATTATTGCTGGCAACGCCGTTATTCTCTGCCAGCACTTTTCACCCCCCCCCTCATTTTTCATCTACTCACCATGTCTTTCGCAATAGTTTTAGAATCAGGCTGAATACTTCCTTGCAGGCGCCCATAAAACAGGAATTGTAAACTGTTCGTTGATCTTACCAGCAGGTCTGGTGCTCACTCAAGCAAACCAGCCTACAGTTCGCGGAAAGAAGGCCTTCAGAGGGACAAATACTGCCACCAAATCCATAAGTATGCAAGCTGAAAATACCTCAATGGCCACCGAAGGAGTATAGCAAAACAAAAAGGACCAAACCTCAAGGCCTAGAAGCAAGAGTTAAAAAACTATGATTTTCTTGAAATTGTACTACTGATGATTAATTATGATACTGGACACTGCTGGTTATCTGTTAGCAAGGTTGATTAAACTACGAGTTAACAACCTGTAGATCAAACATCATAACTCAAAAACTTGAATCTACGCAGAATAGACTACATGAATTGGATATGGATATCACTTTCACAATTTCTTGTGACCCTTACTCGACAGTCTTAAGGTATTTTGCTAATATGGCTTGTAGATTTAAAAATTGCTCCCACCATTTGTTTATTTGTCTATTGGTGAACGCGGCTTCATTAAAATGCCTGGGAAACGCGATAAGTACCAATGGTGTACTGTCCTCTTTTTCCTATTATTGCTGGATGCATCATCCGAAATAGGTAATGCTATCTTTTTGGAAAATGAATTTATATTCTTTGCATGTCTAAACTTGCAGATGACATGTTCGGAAGGGTGATGATATGCGAATTGTGAACATTCCAATACCCATAGGACACTAACTGTAGGCTCATCTTGGAGAATGTAGAAAGTGGCCAAATTTTACTTCAGGCTAGGTTCCGAAACCCCGGGTTGCCTGGATTTTCCACCGAAAAATGTTCATGCTGTCATCCTTAAGCATAAATTAACAATTAGAATGTATTTCTGAATGAATAATCTATAGAAAAACCCTCATCGCACCTGTTGAGTGTTTAAAAATTGAAGATTCATAATAGTGATTGCTATCGAAGCCAATATGGCATACAATTTTGGGTAATTCTAAGTTGTTGGCCCTTCTTAAGCACTACTTCGAATGTATTTTGTAATATATAAATTTTTGATGCACTTGGGATTTATTAAAAATTTCCTTTGACAGCCGTGTACGAAACACTTACAGACTTTGAACTTTCGGGAAGGACGTGTAGGATTTGTGTGCACACTGTTGCATAAATCAAGCTGCGTTGAAAATCTCACTCTGCATCCATAGTCTTCTGGCAGGGTATTGAATGGGTTGCTAATAGTACTGAATTGGTCCAAAATATTAGCACCGTATTGAAAAAAGAATGTCTAAGCATGACATCAGGTATTTGGGTCGCACCATATTGTTTATCTTTCGTTCTGCATAGCTGTCATCTCTCACCAGCTAAGTGACCATATACGTTGATGAAGGCGTGATACTTGCATGCTTGTATGGTGATTGTCGGAAGTTGTCACAATGTTACCAGTCACTTGTCAGTGGAAGTTGTGTAGCTGAGTCAGCTTGTTATCTTCGTCTCAGATTACTTTATGTTATCGCTTACATGACATTTTACTTGGAGCATGAAAGATACTGGCATGGCAAACAGTAGCGTGTTTATCATAGCCTGCATTAGCAACAACAACCTTCATGGTAAGTGGGGTTACTGAAAAACTTTCTGGCGTAAAGTAGTTAGATTTTTTGTTGTTGACTTACTAATAACCTTTATCTCCATTTTAGTCTTGACACAGTTAAGATAGTGAGTCTCACCACTATTCTTTCGGGAAAATAACTGTCTTTAAGTTATTTTCTCGCTTCATTCAAACATTACCATAATATGTTGAAGTGCATGAATGGCTAGGGATTTCCAACTAAATGAAGGTTGGTGTTAATATATCAGGATAATTATGGAGCAGTATGAAAGCGTTTGTTTTTATTCTCTTGTTTTCACCCAGCGACAACATACTTGTATTTACGTCTCGTCATGGAGAATCTAGTCGCGTGTTGCATTTTAAAAGTTACCTGCTGGTCTCACTCGTGTTTGCCTTAGTGAATGCCAAGTGTTATGTGTAAGCACTGCATAAAGTATGTGAGTGGGAAACTTGGTCTATTTGGTAGTGCGGTCCCATATTAAATTCGTTAATTTGATGCAACACACTGCTACAGCATTATTCATTAAATAACGTCTGAAGCACAATTTATCGCTCACAATCATATTAACGTTATCTTACAACTCCATAATTGAGGTTTAATGCGCATGCGTAATTGTGAATTTAGAGTTGATCAAAAATATGGAATAACCATTCATTTAGTATTCAAGAAATACTAAGCCGACAAACGGTTATCTGGTATAAAACCAATCCAAACACTTAACATTTGTTTATAATTTTGCTGATATCAGTTATCGACATGATGATTATCACCATAAAAGCCCACAATGGATGTTTCTCAAGTAGCCTAAAAAGTTAATCGTATTTTATACTGTATTGTTATCCCACTCGAATAAAACCGTTATACGCAAAGAATAACAAAGTGAATGACTGCAATTAAACTAAAAATGTACAGCCAATCAAAAGTAAGAGCGAAGTTCGGTAGACAATCAAAGATTTCATACCAGCGAATATGATGCTACCTTTCTGTTTCCTAACAACCCCTCACAAAAGTGTAGGGTCCTTTATGTATATTAGCAAGATAGGTGTCATGTTCTGAAGGTCCAGTACGCTTTTGATAATCTTACACAAATATTATGAGGTCCTTTCGCAGTTGAACTGTAGCTCATTGTCTTGAACACTCAACTTTTATGCAGAAAGTCCTGGATTCTAATCGTACGCTATCTACTTCGGCCTGGGCAACCAAGTAGTATCATAAGCCCTTGCAATCACTGTAGCATAACCTAGTACATAAACGTATACTATATTGGGTTACATTAGTCGTCTAGTTCCTGTAGCAGATTTTTCTGATACTGCATCTTTTACGAAACTAAGCGGTATCATTTTTGTTTCTCTCTTTGACCTTTGAGATGATATCAGTGCAGTCATTTGACTGGTGGGGATACACAGAAGGTTTCAAGCCTGTACATTGAGGGAGTTACTCTCAGTTATTTTCGACGAGAGATATTGAGTATGTAACTTTGAGATTTGATTTTAAATCGAATACTGGTGTACTGCAGTAAAGGTTTCCGGAGTGGGAAGTCTCCAGTTTACAGCTAATGGTTGTCAGCGGAGTTGATTCACCAATAAACATGAGCTTCTGAACCAAATTTACTGCATTGTTGCTTGGCAACTATACCACTAAGTTTAGTAGACACTTCATGGACTTTACATTCATCGTAAACCTAATCGAAGGTTGAGTTAACGCTTTTTGATTCAGATTCAGTATGTTAATAGATAGTCGAATTTTGTTCAAGAGCTTACATTATTTCCAACTGGTTTTCCGTGATCTATTGAGTAAGCTCTAATTAATCAGATGTTATTCTGAAATTTAGTTATTACTCCATCACTGTCATGGGGTACTAAGTTGGTTGGTTGAATGGAAGTTGAATACAGAACTGTGGTTCACCGGTCTAGGCAGTTGATCTTTAGCCGATGGGTCACAGGTACCAGCCCCGCTCCACCTACCTAGGTTTGAGGTCAGGTAGAATCACTTACCCTCAAACTATAAGTGTGATTCACTGCTTACTACACAAACATGTATGTAGTTTCTGAGCTCGTCTGGCTTCATTTTTCAACACCATATATTAGAAAAGCGAACAAACAATGTGTAACTGGAATAAAATCTTATTTTGTGTTAGTCTCAGACATTGCATTGACAGTACAAAATGAAATTGCTTTAAGTAAATGAAAAAGCTAGTGACTAGATTGTCCTCAAAGGTTTTCTGCCAGTACGTGAGTATTTCATATTTGTATTGAGGTCACAGATCTCCACCAATTCGAGTCTGTAGCACCGGCGAGATATCGAACTACCTATCAAAGGACGGTTATACTCCGCTGCAGTTGGTTTCACGCTGTTATCTGACTGTGGGACGTTGCCATTAAAATCAGATGTGAAGCGGATACAAGTTTTTGACTGTAGCTGTCTTCGTAGCATTGCTTGCGTTTGTCTTCTAAAGCTTGAATGTTTTGACCAACCTTCTAGATTCCTTCTCCCTCCATATTTCTTTATCTACTTTAATTTCAGTCTCCTGTCCACTTGTTTTTTGTATACTTCTGTGAAGTTTTGCAACGTAAACCGATGCACTCGTGTGCAAGGTTCTACGTTGATTTGGTCTTTATAAATGGGGCGCATGAAAGGTAAAACAATAGCACGTAAAAAATGTAAATTGCCGCTCCAGGATTGGTCTTCAACAGTGCCACGGCTAACAATAGAGAGTGTAATGGTTGAGTATGTTGACGACTTCACTTACCTGGGAAGTAGGATCAACCCTGATGGCTCAGTGGTCGGTGAAATATCTTCACGGATACAAAAGGCTCGATTGGCTTTCAACACGCCACCTGTGGCGCCGCCGTGATATCCTATTGTCTACTAGGGGTCGCGTATACTGCACAACAGTCCGGTCTGTTCTACTGTATGGCTGTCAAACATGGCCATTAAAGGTGGAAGATATGAGAAGGCTTCAGGTGTTTGACCACCGTTGTCTCCATAATGTAGGCCATATTCTGTGGTGTCACCACGTGAGTAATGCAGAAGTCAGGTATAGAGTTTTAGGAAGAAGAGGTAAGTTAGTTGACGAGGTTCTGAACCTTCATTGACTGAGATGGTTGGGACATGTGTTATGTATGCCTAGTCGCCGTCTACCTCCACACAATGTTGGCCGAAGTTCAGGCTGGAAAAAGGCACGAGGTGGCCAGACTAAAACGTGGCATCAATGTATGAAGCCTTTGACTATTGGTTTGAGCCATGTGGGGAGATGTAGACTCGCCGGTTGGGGTCGGTGGGACTAGAGGAACCAGTGGTTGGAGACTCTAGTTGATCGCATGGTTCCGAACCGATGTCAGTGGTGCAGATGCATGCACACATTATCCTCATCTTAACGACGCTATACTGAATCTCACCACTTTCTCATCCTTCGTTTTTCTCTTTTCGTACTCTTTATTTCTTTTGACCGCATTCTTTTATCCTCATCTTGCGCCTCACTGCCTTTTTATTTGATGTACTGATATGATGTATGGCAACTCGGACCGTTACGCAGTAATGCCTGGTCCTAGGTTGATCTGGATGGATAGATAGGAAAAATTAGAAAATTTAAGTGTTGAGAATGTGGAAATCACAAGTCGTATATGAATGTAACTAATTATTTCAATGATGTGAAAGTGTATTTGATATTATCGGAAAGATCGCTTAATTTGTGAGACGATGGACTGTCATACAATTGGAATCAACTCAGTGAGTTGTAAACGAGAGGCCACAGAAACAAATAACTATGTAATATCAATGAAATACAACCAAAATGCGGTCACCATCGTTGTGTGAAACTGATCACACTTCTTTCTGTACACTATTATAGCATCCTTTCTTTTCCTGTGGTGATACCAAGGAAAGGTTCACTTTTTTAATTTCATTAGGAAAGGTCATCATCATAGGAAAGATGAATTAGTAGTCGTTAACTTGAACAAGAACAAGTGGTTAGGAAGTATTTAAGTGGATAAAGGTGTATAGGGAGAGATATCAGAGTGGTAATATCTGCATCACTGTGACTGATTTTCAGCCGTGTCATCAAGTCTCTAATCACTGATTCCTATTTCGGGTACTCCAACCAGGGTTAGCTGAAGTTGTGTTACAATGATTTGTTATTTTCAGATAGAGGTTTATAGTAAACATTTGGTCTTCTCGTTCTGGAAAGCAGGATGTCCTATTGCACTTTGACTGTGGTTAATCTGCGAACTAAATCGTTTTGACTATTCGAGCAACTTGTCAAAATGAGCTTGCGGCGCGATTCTATCATCGTTGTTTCAAATTACCCTCCAGATCTTGTTGCCATTAACGATTACCAGTGATAATAACCTGAGTATTTTTGGTAAATGTGAAAAAATAAGAAAGGATTAAAACTAGTAACCCGAGGAATCGTACTGGTGACAAGTTATCATTCAGTCAGGAAAGCTTGCAATTTTTCACTCTGCTTCAAAAAAATACTGTCTTTGAGTCAGGACCAACGTAAAATGTGGCATTACTGCGTAACGCTCCATATCGCCACACCTCACCAGCATATCAAGGTGGTAGGTACCACGGTAAAAGATAGAAAAATTAGGGAAGAAAGTAGTCAAAAGTACTAGAAATTTGTGAACAGAGTAATAAGGAATGGAATTATTGTGAAATTCGGCGGGGTGATTTTGTTGGAGATAATGTGGAAATGCATCTGAACCGCTAAAATCGATTCTACCCTGTATTACTTAGAGCCTTTAACCGTCTAATTCGGTTGTACGTACTCCAACCTAGAAGTCTACATTTCCCTACACGGTCTACACCAACGGTCAAAGACTCAATGGACTGATAACATCTCTTGCTCTGATAGTCTTTAACTTCTAATTGTTATTTAATATGGCTGTGTCAAATGGTGTACTCTAGGGATGTCAACTCGAATTTAAGCTTGTCATAAAAGTACTGTTGTGGATTGGACTTTCTTAGCGTCACAAGAATTGATTTCACTGGAAGTTCCTTGGTTGACTTAGTTGACCTAATTCTTTTAAGAAATTTTAAGTTGGTATTCATTATGGACTGGCATCAGTTAGAGATGTCGACAAGCTGCCAATTTTTCTGAACACAGTAACGATCAGGTTTCTGGTGGTGCGTTTCCCGTCTTTTGAGTGCAGGTTGTTGTTTCACAACTGATCGACCCCAATGTGCCGTTTAGTAATCGACATGGTATCAGTTGAGTGCGGTGATAACTTCGATAACCTAGAAATTCTCATCAAGTGTGGTGGGATGACGATAGATGAACCTTTAAAATAGTTGAAAAATATCACATTAACCTGTATCAACTCGCACTACTTGTGACAACAGGATATTGAAATACCTATCGAATGAACAGTTTATTGCGCAGTAGTTTTCTCTGCCCCACTCGGTGATTATAAAGAGTATCCATTCAAGGTAGAGATGTGATAAGGTCTCATGTATTTGTATTCCATTGCATTTATATCATCTTTTGCATGCGATGGAACCACCATGTTAGTATTGTAGTGGTTAGGTATAGAGCACCAAATATATCAGACTAGCTGGTTGGTGATAATAATGGAAAAGGTGTGATTTTATTCATGCCAAATCATTGTCCACACAAAGGCTTATACTAAGTGGAGTAGAATTAGGTAGGAAAATTCTTAACAAAAATGTGGCACTGAACCATAAATTTCCCCAGTATTAGTTTGTATCATTAAAAAATTATGGGATAGCTTGCCTGGAGTTTTGAAGATGTTAAGATTCAGAAGTTAAAAGGTTCAGTAATTTCATTCTTAATTGACAATGATGATAAAGATGCACTAACTTTTTATTTTACGTCCGAAATTTGAACATATGACTGCCGTACACATATGGCCAGCCATTTATTCCGTTTTCATTTTATTCAAATTTCTTTTGTTTTCACTGTATTTTGTTATGAAATGTGGTATCTTGAACCATTGCACCCTTACACTAAGCTTTGCATTGTTTCACCTACGTGTACGATAAGCCTGTTTTGGTAAGCTTACGTCTTTTACCAGTGTGTTCTCCGGAAAGTGAATACTTTCACCTTAATCAAACCAAGTGCTTCGTCACTGTGAATTGGAATCCGTAGATTCCCCGTGTGGTGACAATTATTTATCTAGTCTTCTCTCCGGGAATTCTTTCTATTTGGATTTTGAAGGTGAACATTGGGAGGTGAATATGTAGGTGGTATTTCGGATACACTATTCTGCTGTTTTCAAGAATGTATTACTCCTTGACCTTCACGTTTCATGTATGCATAAATTGTATAACTCATTCTCTGCGTTACTCGTCTCACTTTCTATTCAGGTTCTGTTACACCCGATGTTATTGTACTGGATGCTAATGGGAACCAGAAGGAATTAGATGAAGTTGCCATTGTCTTCAACTCATATGTCACTTTAATTTGCCGTACTGTTTCTAACGAGCATTCTTTAAACTGGATGTATGCGTCATCGCAAAACGAAGCATTCACACCATTGAATGAGACTGCACATATTACCATTTCGTCACAGAAAAATGAAGAAGTATCGTTGCAACTTATCAATGTTCGATTTCACATGTCGGGTGTTTACCAGTGTACAAATGGACTTGCTAGTCGTCAGATCAGTGTTCATGTATACGGAGGTACTTCTCATAAACGCATATAATTATCTTGTTTAGTTTTAAATAAAATTAGCAGTACTGTCCACTTGGTAAAGAAACATGAGGTAGTTGGTTCCTACCATCTCCAGATTAATGCATTGAATTCGAGTTCCCGTCCTGTTGTTGCGTGTGCATTCCGAGTTGGTTCGAATGGTGTAAAGTACACTACCGTTCGTTGGAAAGGTGGAAAGTATCATTCTAAACCCAATCTTTATGAAGTTGCTGAGAGTCGAGACGAAGAGTCGGGTATTATATGGAGTAACTTAACCTTACTTCATCCTTGTAAGTGTATTTTTATGCAGTTTTTAGAAATTTTTAAATATCATCCTCAAAATTAATCACGTTTATGGCTGAATGATAGTTGTTATAGGCAAACAAATAGTTTTTCTTTCTTGCACAAACTGCTGGGTTTTATGTCTGTATGTAATTTCGTATAAAATGTTTAAGTGATTTGACATGATTTATTTATGAAGTTTATCCTGGTCATCATGTTTTGCCCCTAATGACTCTAGCATTCATGGATGTTAATAAAGTCACACCCTAATCTGATAGTTTGTGCTACCAAAGACACACAAGTGTTTTTAAGTGTTTGTAAATTGCTAGGATGAGAGTTAAAATAGCATATTTCAGTGGGTTGTGTACTGGCTGCCTAAAAGCTTAAAATCAACAGTATATTGGATCAGTTAACATTGGATTTTACAGAAATACTTGAAGGTTGATGCAGTAAAATTATAAACATAGCTGTAACGCATGTGCACTTCACTTCTTCATCGTTTGAGAAAAGAACTAGTGGTAAACTGGTGTTGTCAGATATTTTTCTTTTAAGAATCTTCCAAATTCAAACGTATGTAAGTTCTTTAGTTTGACTTTAAATATATTATTCTACATACAAGTTGTCAAAGAATCGTCTAAACAGACTAAGGTTCTTCACGAAATCAGCAGGGGAAAATATAGTGTGCACATTACGTCACCGGATGCATTTTGTTGGATATAGACAAGATAATACTTATATGAACATAGTTTTATAGAATATGTATACTAAATGTTCTAAGCTGGATACAGAAATGGTATGCCTGCCAAAAAATGACACTTTTAATTGTCAATAACCTCTAGAATAAATGAATCTCAAACGACGAAACATTTAGACATGTTAATTCTTATTCTCCTTTTATTGAATGAAAGAGAAACTGTTTGACAAAAAGTTGGAGATTGAGAATTAGTTTGTGGATAAAAATTAATCAATCGAGAAACGGACTGAAGTTGATGGACAGATAGTGAGTTTATTTTTCGAACAACATAGTTTATTTCCCACTTTTCTATTATCTTGCGCCAAAAGATTAGCTATTAGAGATGTAAGGATGGCTAGACGAAGACATGGTAGCGATTCACGAAGCCTCTAACTGCTAGTCCTGACCGTATAGAAGAATGTGGGCTTCACAGTTGAAGTCTGTAAGGTGTTAGAAATAAATGTTTAGAGACTCATTAATGTGGCTTATAACGAATTACAATTGCGTATACATATTCACTCTTCATTGCAAAAATTCTTAACGTTTTCAATAACATTAATCTGATTCTGATTATTTTATTATACCTCGGACATTGTTTTCATATTGTTGGTATTATTTGGTTGTGGACTTAAGCCTATGATCAAGAATTGTACGGAAAGTATTATTGTATGTTCAACGTAGTACCTGGCACAATGGAGACAGCTGAAGTAGAAATAAGCAGTGAGTTATTTTAATGATGTTTCTTATACCACTGTTCCAGTATATATAACCATTGAGTTTTTTCGTGATAATACTACAATGCACTGTCTGCGACTATAATTCTACTCTACTATCAATGACCCTTATGAAACTGGATCGTGCTAGTCTAAGCGATGGCGTGTCTCATAGCTTGACGGGAACATTGCAAAAGGATCGATAAATTCGGTCAGCGTTCGGCAGTAGACGACATGAAGTTGGTTACTGTCCAATGATAGGTCACCAATGTATTTTTATTCTTTTATCAGACCACAAACCCTGTTGATTTTAATTGTCGATATTTGACGTACCATTACAATCGAAAAGTGATCGCTAATCGGAAACATTATCACAGATGTGTTGTAATGGAAAACGACTTATCTATGGAATACTACAATGCATAAAAAATATTTTTAATAAGAGTATTCAAATGCACATAAAGCTTACCGCATAGAAAATGATGAAAATTCAGATAAATGTTGAAAAAGGTTAGTGCATATTGTCTCTCTACAATTACTCATTGCAAATATGAATAAGATTAGTGAGGATATAGTGTAAAACAGTGTTGAAAGCTTTACATGGTTTTAGCGGAATTGTTTCTTGTTAATCTAGGCACTGTTATCAATTTCAGTAACGTGTTATATGAGCTGGATGTTCAATCATTCTAGAAAACACCACAAACTTCAGAAAAAGATAGCTGTGAGATTTTCTCCACAAGTGGCTTAATAGCTTGTCGTGATGAACTTGTGTATGGTTGTTTTTTCATGCTAAATTCTTGTCATTGTCTCCATAAGTAGCTTACTTCTTTCTGAATTTCTTGATGTTTTTTAGAATGATAACGAAAGCTTAAAGACTAAGCCATTTAGCTTAGGGAACACAACACTAAAATTATCCTTCCTAGTTTCAAATGTTTTCCGTCATTTCATTGTTAGCAACCATTGGGGAGTTGTACAGCAGTTGAAATCGAGTTAAGAGAATGGCTTTCTTTTCACCTAGCTGGTTTACTCATTCTGATCAGTTGAACAATGCACACAATTTGAATGATGACTATTAACGATATATGGTAACTTCTTGAAGTTCCAATTTTTCTTAATAAACAGCACCGTGCAAGTAAACTACTTTCTTTGTTCGTAGCTATATATATATATATATATATATATATATATATATATATATATATATATATATATATATATATATATATATATATATATATATATACTGTTTGACTATATTGTAAATATATTTCACAAACAGCACAACGAGAGAATTAAGGTCATGAAACTAACTGGAATGGTAGCGATAAGCAGCCGGAAGAAAGAGACTAGAGACACAAGTGACAGTGAGAAAAGAAAATGTAAACTAAGTAGTTGCCCAATATGTTATTGTGCGGTAAAGAATAGATAGCTGTTCGTAACTATGATAGATTTCGAATTTTATCATCTAACACTTCCACTCACTGGGTTCTGTTATATTTTTCTTTTGAATGACATCCTAGAGATTCTTTGTAAACATGATTCGCACTCCGTAATTTGTCACGTACATGTCATCCACAATGTGGATGTTAGGTGTGAAGTTTGTCGTTTATTGGAGGCGATCGACAGGAATCCCTGAACCCAGACTTTGGGTTTTTTGTCTTGCATTAGGAAGACATTCGCAACCTTGAGAGAGCGAATGATTCTTCTGAGATTTGAACCCACATAACCCAGCGTTGCTGTCGGAGACGTTCGTCTAAGATATTCGGGTCGCGACTGACCTATAGAACTGGATTAGATATAGTTATTGATTAGTCACTTGAAAGTGTCCCGTTTTATGTTGTCTAGTTCTGAGTGCTGACCGAATTCCATCGATCAGTTTGCAATGTGAGCACGAAGCGCCCCGAACGGCTAAGTGGTGACGGTTCTGACTTCAGAACTGGTTGTTGTGAATTCGCATCTCAGAGGAGTCGTCGGTCCCCTTAAGTTCGCACATGCGCCTTGTTGACGAGTGGCAACAAGCACGAAACCTAAGTCCAAGGTCTATTTCCGATTGTCTCCATCCAACGAACGCCTATTAAAGTTCACCACGTTGGTGAGCTTCCTTGCCGTGTAGCTACATTGCGAAATGATCTATAGAATTCGGTCAGCATTCAGCAGTAGACAACGTGAAATTGGTCACTGACCAGTGGAGCTCGTTTAGAGGACACATTTTGAACACATTGCTCATTACCCTTGTACGTAATTTCTTGGTGAATTTTGCCTTATCATATGTAATGGTATCATTTTTTTCATTTCTTCAGAAATTCAGCTTTTTTTAACTTCGAAATAGCAAATTGTTAAACTGTGATATTCTTTTTTTATTTTGCATCCACCTCTTGCTCCCTTAATTATACACGTGCACTTGGAGTTCCACCACTGATACGCAAATATGAACGTAGCGCAAATCCTTATTCTGGCGTGAAATTCACGTACTTGTGTGATATTTTTGCATATCCCCCGGTCACTGAACCTATTACGTGGGTAAGAAACGAAGTCCCTATATCAATTCAACCTAACGGTCAAGCTTATATACAAGACTACGATACTGAAAATCGTATTCATTTTGAAACTAGAAATATATCCAATGATCAGATTGTATTCGATACAATACAGCCAGATGATAGGGCTGTTTATTCATGTTTTGTTCATGGAGTACTTGGCAATGATACTGCAGCTTTCTACCTACGAGTTAAAGGTTTGTTGATTTTTGCTACTTTACGATGTCTTAAAAACGGTGACTCTTTCTTCCTTTCTTTCTTTCTTTCTTTCTCTCTCTCTCTGTATTATATATATATATATATGCCGAAAAACTGGTATATCCTATGGCATATAACGTATTACCTAAGTGTTATCGTTATAAAATGACTATAGTTGTCTGTTCGGACAGTGAAAAAGTGAGATAATGTATGAATAGTACACCGGTGTACCTGCAGTTAATTATCGGTACAGATTTTACTGGTAGAAAATATATTCTAATCATGTGCCATTTTGAAACCTTGCTTGTGAAACAGTGTCCAACAGCACTTTTTTTATATCCAACTCTGTTGTAAACTTTGTGCCCCATAGAAAATTATAGCAGCTAATTTTGTATCTACTTATTTTGATATAGCATGTAGCGAAGTGAAATTTATTTAGCGACTTGAGTACATTGTAATAGTTTGTTTTGAAACAACTTGAATTCAGGATCACATTAAATTTGATCTTGCCAGTGAATAGCGAAATCAGATTTGATGTAATCCTGAAGTCAAGTTGTGGAATCACCATATGAACAGTGTCGAGGTTAGCTGTAGGGTACTAGGCAAGGCAGGCAAGTTGATTGATGAGTTTATGAACTTTGGTCGACTGCACGTGCCAAGCCACCACCTACCTCGGCGTGCCATGCCAGGCTAAATTGGATTAGGTTAGAAAAAGGTTCAGGGTGACCAGATTAAGACGTGGCACCAGGCGATGAAGTTTCCTAATGTTTGTCTGAGTTGCTTAGAGAGATATAGACTGACTAGCTGCAATCTATACGAAAGGAATTAGTGGTTGAGTACGTGGTTGAAAATCAATCACAGTGGCTCAGTTGTATTCACTCCAACCTTTATCTTCAAATTGTTTATTCTCTCACATAGCTCTATCTAGTTTGATATATTGGTCTAATTCTATCCACCTGTTTTTTTGTATACTACTGTGAAGTGTAGCAAATAAAGCCAATGGACTTTTGTGCGAGGCTCCCGCTTCAGAAAAGTGAACTCTGTTTCACATTTTGAATAGCCCATGCCCCAGTTCATTAAGCAATACCAAATTAATAATATACACTGCGTTTTCTTGGCTGTAACAAATTAATACCCGTTTCAGTAAAGAGTAACGGTTATAATGTTTAGAATCTGAAATTACTCATTGTGACTTAGTCTTAACAAGTAGTTTTCTATTTGTAGGATTTTCAGATTTTACTTCTGTTTAGAATGAAAGTTTAGGTGTGTAACAGAGATCACGTAGTAAAAGACGAAACGGTTGCTGTTAATCATCGTTAGTCAAATATGAGAGCTCATATTACGGGTAAGTAAACAATATCAGACCTCTGATTAAAAACAGCATAAAATGAGGATATGCTTCCGAAGATTCTGTGGCATACACAGCTAAACGCTCGGAAAAATCTTGTTTTTGTTTTCTAAACACGCTTAGATTATATTGAAACCTAATTTTATAAAGTAAGATATAATGTTTATGATATTTTGCTGACAGAATTATTTACTCAAGAATGGATCTTCTAACTGGCAATCTCTAGATATCAAATCATTTTTCCTTTAGCATATAGACTTTGTAAGAAGGTTGAAGAAAATCCTTTTTTTCGACTAGCCGTATGGTATCATCACAAGCCTACTAAAGCCAAGACCTTACGTAATACCAAGATCCCATATTTTCATATAATTATTACCGACACCATTCTGCAACCCCTAGCAAGGAAGAAAACGTTGAGTCACAGTAGAGATAACCTGACCTCTAGTGTAACCTCTGTAACGTAATACACCGTATTTACGTTTGAGTATTTGGCGGCTGTTTGGAAGATGCTAAAATTAAATTTCTTCTTTTAAAGCATTGCAACTGCTGAGAAACACTTTATTTCGGAAGTCATAACTTAATTTGTCTTTTACAATGGCGTGGATGCCACCGTTTATTCAACGGTTCACCAAAGTTGCTATTGCAAAGTTTTGACGTTTATCAGCTGTAGTATTAATTGCCAGGATAGCGTTTGAGAATCGTTTGCATATAGCTCTTTGGCTTCCTTCGTTCTTATGTGGAACTAATCACTTTAATGTTCTTTTTGCATTTGTTACAACACTTCAGATTGTACATGCCTAATTTATACAGTAAGTTATCAAAAAATCATGTGCATAAACATTCTTGAAAACCTGTTTGTAGTTAATTTGCATTAGTTTATACTCAAATCACAGTTGTGTGTTAATGCAAGTCTGTTGATTGTACTCTGGATTTTGGTTCGTACTTGAAAGTATGATTTTCTGAAATCACCTAGTGAAATTAAAGTATGATATATCTACATTTGTTACATAGCCTGGGGGACTATTAGCTGGAGCCTCGGAATAACGTTTTCTGTGTGTAATGCTATAAATCTGAGATGAAATGTACAGTTTAAAAGACCTTGTTTATGATATATATCCTCTATATTGTAGATCGTCGTGCTCCCTTATGGCCTCTGATTGGTATAGTTTTAGAATTGGTGATTTTGTTCGCAGTTATTTTAGTCTATGAATTAAAACGTCGTGAGCGAGCGAAACAAGAAGAAGCAAGTATTGACCTAATTACTTCTAGCAAAACACCGAATGCAATGTACGGAGTTGAAGAAGCAAATGAAGATTTGTGAGTTTATTACTGTCGTATTGTACAAAAATGATCTGACCTATGCATGTCACCAGTCATCATCATTCTTGAAAATTACTGGCTAGATATTGAAGTAGAAAGAGCTATTGACTCCGTTTATACAATCATTTCATTTAAAGTATTAATAGTGAACTAATCAATCATTTTTTTTCCCTTTGTTACAGGTCTGTATAAGTTTTTAACATTTATATTCAGACACCTAGATTCCTTTTAATTCACTTGTGAACTATATTGTAGACAGAGTTCGTGGGCGGAACGTTATTCTATATAATGATGCTTGAGATGATGAATCATTATCTAAAATGCTTGGAATAAACTATTGTTGAGACTGATTATAGAATCTGATAGGAATTTTAGTTTTATGTACTTCAATACCATGGAAATAAGATTCCTGATAACCCATAAAATTAATGAACACATTTTCTACTGTAAAATGATCATGGAGAAATTACTGCGAAGCAACATACTCCTCTTACATTTGTCATATGTTGATTAAAATGGGAACTGTTTACTAAAGTGAATTTTCATTTCAGTTATCATTTTAATTTACAATATCTTCCAAACAGAATTTCGGAGTTATAGCAGCTTTAATCATGATCAGAAAGTTACTTCTTTCCATACTACTCATTGTACATCAGCACTTGGATATTCGTTTTTAGGTATATTTCTCCCTTAAACTTACGACAATAAATGAGAAATTCATTTTGTAGAGTCTACTGCTGAAGTATGAACATATTACCCATGTAACTGTCGTCAGAGTGTAAAGTCATAAGATGTCATAAGATGAGTTTATCACGAGTAGCCTGTAGTGTATTTCTTATTTTTGACAATGACTGGTCGATCGATGCAAAGTACACGGACAAGATCCTGAATAATCATGCTTCAAGCCACTTCGTGAGTAGTTTACAAATACAAAAGTAATGTTTTGCGCACACTGGTCTATTAAAAGTAGTGGGATATGCTGAGGACTTCATATACCTAAATATTTGCATTTACTTCGTTGTGTTTGGAAGGTCGAGTGAACTTTTGCTAGCACGTTTAGTCTGTCATTCCCAAAAGCTTACCAATGCATCATGTTTTCTTACACGGCAAATTCGTGTATTCATGTCAGTCCATGAGTTGCCAAGCACGATAGTTTCAAATAATACAGACTATTATGTCTTTTTGACTTAGGCACTTACTTTTCGGACTCAAATCTTTCTCCATACCTTTCAGCCTATCCATCCAGGTTGTGCTTTAGACCCTTAGGCGTTAAGTGTGGGTCATAACTTAGCGTGTAAATCTGTACGGTATCCCTGAGTTTTTTGTTGCAAAACAGACTACAGACGGACGACGAAGTTGGAAGTTTCACAGAAGTGAATGGTCTTATGTTACTACATTTCACTGCAAAACAGATAATCTGAACAATGACGCACAAATATTGCAACAAAAAAGCAGATGACTGGAATGTTGATAAATAAATAAAAGTAAGATTTGAGTCTGAAGAAATTAAGGAGTGAATAAGCCTATGTCACTGTAACTTATTTTAAGTCATATCACTGTCAGGTTTTAGCGTTGCAGAATCTCAGCCTGATAACTAATAATTGCCTACATAGCTCAGATCACTGCATTAGACAGTGATTTTCACGGATAAATGTCTTAATCTGATCACTTTTATCCTTCTTTCAACTTAGTTGCTATCCAGTTACCATTGATATCGAGTTGCTATAAGTTTACAATTCTAACCACTGACTTACCTTCCCTATCTGGAACTTTGTGCCGAACTCCATATTGTATGGTCCAAATGTATGTGACGAATGTTATGAGGGACTAATTATAACCTATTCGTGTCACCCACCTTTAATGGTTATATGTCATTCGTAGAATAGAGTAGAGCGGACTGCTATGAGTTATACTTACCTTTTGATAAGAAGTAAGATTGGTTATCAGAGTTTATAGATGGTTATTTTATATGCAGTCGCTGGGGTTCATAGATCACTACTCAATAACTGTTTCTACGAAAAATTTCGCCTTGGAACACTAAAGTACATTGATTATAATGTAAGTAATTTTGTATTGATTACCTTTTATACTTTCCCCTTACAGTTGATCTATATTTAAAAGCTCTTGTGATCTTAAACCTCTTCATATATGAAGTATGTATAACAACTCTCCTTATTTGTCTTTTTAAATTGATTTAACTTTTCTCAAGTGTTTATCCTATATTAATTTTTGCTCTTGTGTTCATTGAATTGCTTTCTGTTTCAGGTTATTGCGACAGAGAAGTGGTCGTTATTAGGATAGAATTTCACATATTTTTATTGCACCTTACTTCACCTACTCACTATTCTTAGTGTAATCAATTGTTCCTTGATTACAACATTAACATTACTGTTCAATATCATTATTATAGCACCATTTCTTTCAAGAAGATTTTGTGTCTATTTCCTTTGTCTTATGTTAGAGTACACTACTTTTTCCACCACAGTCGATTCGTACTATATTTGTCCTCTGTGGTGTTATTTTCCTCATGTTCCTTTGTTATTAGCATTATTACCCTATACTTACTACTTTATACGGCTGTCATATATATATATATATATATATATATATATATATATATGCAAATGCATTTCTTTTCTTTGATTGCTGTTCCTATCTTCGTCATCTAAGTATGAATTTACTGTTTATTTTATCCTGTAAAAATAGTGGCAAGTACTGTGGGTTATATTAGGTTGCTCTTAATTATTATTATGATTATTATAGAGAGATATCTGAGTGCATTTTGTATAATTACTAAAAGTTTTCATTGCTCCAGTGCGTAGAAATCCATAATATTATATATATATATATATATATATATATATATATATATACTGTCTTCTGATTTTTTAAATTATTCCTTTTCTTTTTGAACACACTTCTTTCACCCAGTTAATTTCCTACACATGCACATTTGCAGTGAAACATTAAAATATTCATCTGTGAGCAGAACTAGTCTTCGAGTTTCCTGTCTGCATTTCTAGATTTGTTTGCCTTCTTTTTTGTTTCTCTTTTCTCTTGTATTCTTTTTTTGTCTTATCTTGTCATATGTAAGATAAAGCAACTTCAGAAGTTTGCCCAATGCATTTTTCCTATAGAGAAGGAGAGATTTAAATGACCAATGTTATTATTCACTGAGGAATATTATTACTATTGTTATCATTATTGTTCCTGTTTGAGCATTGTATGAAATTTCTTGCCAAACACTTTGCTGTTTTTCTCCTCTTCATAAAATTTCCTCTTAAGAAAATTTAGCCTGTGATATTTAACCATCACTGTTTTATTATTTTGTTCAAAAGATTAAACTTTTAGTATATAGAAGCAAACCAAGTGTTTATGTCTTTATTTAATGTGAATGGGGTTATCGTTTTTAGAAAAAAAAGGATACTAAAAATGTAAACTTGACATGTATATTTATTCAAAGCAGGTGAGGTACATTTTTAGCCTAATGCGCAAGTGGATTGGCTTTGTTTTTGCAACATAGCTCACTGTATTACTTACTTGGTGACATGTCGAGCACAGTCTACATCCCATATTTATAACAAATTAGAAGTATAAAATTCAAAGTCGGAAGTTGTGTAATTACTTCAGTAACACTATTAACAGTAGGTCTTTCTTGAAATGTCATCTAGCATGGGAGATTTGTTTCTTTCTGTCAGTCATCCATCTGTAGTTTAAATGGTGTCTTTGACATCCTCTTGATACTTAACTGTTTCAGATGGGATTCGAGTTCGTCGCTCTTGAAAAAGGGACCCTGATCTGTTAATATCAACTTCGACACTACATAGTCTGCCACAATATAAGGGATTACCGCCTTAGTAACCGTCTTCGCAAGTTGGTCTACAGTCTTCATGGCGTCTATCCAGCATGTAGCATATTGTGTCATCATCAACAGGTATTGGCTGTGGCTACCTGTCTATGAAATGTACTCATTACATCCACTGACCATAGATCACCAACTACTTTTACTGGAATCGACCACAATGGTGGTCGTTCGCACTAACCACCTTTCATAGGTTGACACTTCTGACAGATAGGCATGTAGTTCACAACATCATTTCTTATATCTCGCTTGTATGCACTTAATCGTAAGAGGTCCATCATTCTTCTGGTACATGTATGTGTTAGCTGACGGCATAGGTGAATCATTTTAATAACTTAGGCCTTTTGGAATCTCCATCACCCAACTCTCATCGTTATCTTCCCAGGTCAGCTCTGTATGCGTTTACCTTTATTTTGTCTCTGTCAAAGAAACGTCGTTGCTTTCTTGTCTTCTGCATACCTGCTGGCATCTGCTCCTTCAATAATCAGTCAGACTGCTGCTCGAAGACTAGAATAAAACTTTTGATAATGGACCAGCTTTAGTGGATCTTCCCAGGGAACTGGATGCATATGCTATCCACGGAAGGTTCACTTCCTCATGCAATCTTGACAGGTAATTTGTTATTACATTTTATTTCTCAAAATGTACCCAATAGTAAATCCATACTCCTATAGACGTAACATCCACAGTGTTAACCTCCCATGGGGGTCTCTTGCTGTTCGAAACGATTGCGTTCAAAAGAAGTTTGTACATCTTTTTTTCTGTGGCCATCGTAGATTATCGATCACTCTAAGTAACCGTGATATGACTCAACTACTTTTATTTTGTAATCATGTCGTTCACTTCCTCATTACGCAACTTTCTTTGTGATGTAATTCAAATTGACCTTTGACCAGGAATTACTCTGGAATGTTCTGTCCTTATTTACTGTATATTCACAAATGTACAGCTAAGGGAATTATTTCATCGAAACAAAAAAACAACTGAAGGGGTTTGTGGTCAGTTCCAATGTGGGATCAACTGCCCAGCAGGTAAGTTCTGCATCTATCTGTTGACCGAACGATGGCTGAACCTTCCTTTTAATTTATGGAATACCTCTGTTCCGCTTGAATCAAGATACAGTTGGTATACTATAAAACTGTTTGGCTGTCACTTGCGTTTGTGGCAACAATAAACTGTCTTAAGGCTTACTATAGTTATAATGTCTGTCAGTCATCTAAGAGTTATTTTATACAATTAAAGATCTTTTGTGCTTACAGTCTATGTAAACTGGGTATTACTTAACAGTTTATACACAGGCACCGCTATCTCTTTGCAGTTTTTGAAAAATGGGCTGTAGCATGCTGCTTTTCCAAAGAATTGTCTTGGTTTTATTCCGATTGGTTGTCGTAATGTTTTCTGCAGTTGGAATTTTTCTGAGAAGTGGCTCCTTTTCTCTGTTTGAGAATTTACCATAACACTGCTCTTGGCTATTTGCTGCTTATCCTTGTTATTTAGTAGTCCAGTCTCTTCAGCATGCTTTAGGACGGCTTCCACATGCTCAACATGACCAGTTTCCATGCAGTTGTACACAGCTAAATTACAACCATATGCGTCATCATTTTTCAGATTCCTGAGTAATAAAAATATTGACTTTCTAAAGGTACAAAGGATACCTGCCATTTCATATGACATTTGTTTACTGGCATTATTTAAGACCCACGGTAAATCCTGTTTTAATGCGACCACTCCTCTTCGTTGGCAGTTGTCATTAGTTCAACCATAATTGCAAAACTGGAATATTTCAAGTTCTACTAGCGACCTAGCGTTTCTGCCACTGTCGGCATTGCGTATGGTTTTGTTCTGTCGCACTTTCTAATCTTTTCTCTGTTGTTTTTATTTTGACCTCCACCAGCTTCCTGCTTTCATGTATTGGCAGTGTAGCATACTTTGTGGTTACCTTTCGATTCTTCGTGTTGATAATAGTTCTTGCTTTTCTCAGAAAGTCTGCTATTGTTCGCTGTAAACCTCTGATGACAACCGCCTATTTACATGAAACAGTCTGAAACCTCAAATATATTCAAAAAGCTCTACTATCTGAACTGCTAATGCACATGGATGCAAACTTTGATACTGCCCTTTGTCTAGTAGCAAAATCGCTGCCGTTATGTCAACCTGATAGGCAGATTTTCGACAATTTGTTCCTATTCTTGCATAAATTGCTTCTCTGTCTGTTACCGCAGCAACCGGCAGTTCAGTAAGAAAGTAAGCATATCGTAACATTTAAAATACTTGCATCTTCACATGCGAATTATTCATCATTCTTGTTGACCTAAATTCAGATAGCTACCCCCTGTTGCGATGATGTTCATTTCTTGACCCCCACTCAGCCTATGCCACCATCTGGCTCACTAACTGTCTGGTCACTTTTACTAGTTTATTGATGTTTATTGGTTGTTCGACGTTTACTAGCTGTAGTTGTTGTGAAATGGTTGTAGGCGCACTTTGGATAAACTGAGAAGTCAGCAATCGTATTTAGGAATCGTCCTCCAAGGTGGGCAATGCTGGATATAGCAGAAAAAGTATCATAGATGAGGGAACACCAAATCATATTCACTTGTAAGTGTTGATTATTGAATTGGAAAGAACTTTGTTGAAATTCATGAATTTGGTAGATTATAGAAGCTTAATTTGGCTACTGGATGAATAAAATCAGATATTCGACTACACGCTTAATTAACACAAGAAAGAAGACAGCAGTGAACTGAAGAGTTATACTTGAGTTCTTCAAATTGTTAAAATAGACTTTCAGCTTGTGGGTTGATTCATCATGGGAATTCTTTGTTAATTTCATTTGTTTTCCTGAAATCGTATAATTGAATGAACTTCCCGTAAGACGTTAGTGGTTTCAGCTTGGTTTCTTAGCTGAAAAAAATTACCAGAAAACTGTATTTATCCAGGTGGAAACTAACCATCTGTGTCATTTTAGACACAAACATACACTTTTAACAATAATTTGGAAATCAGTTGAATTATTGTTTTTCTTACGTTTTTGCATATGTTTTTATAGGTGAAATATATGATGATACATAGAAAAGTGTTGTTAACTGTGTTTAACAGCTGAATAAGTTTAAAAATAAATTTCCCTATTTAAAAAATCATGGCATGGACATATTCGGGACAAAATCATTAGTTATTAATTCACTTCCGAAGAATAAAACCTTATTAGCAGTTGTAAAATGCTTGAAAGCATCGTTTGACATCAGCACTGTGTTTGTGAATACATCAATAGGACACGTAGTGGATGCCACTGAAAAGAATGCATATAAGTTGTATGTGCTGACAAGTTGGAAGAGGTCATTGACAATTGCAAGCGATGGGTAAATATTCTGCTCAGAGAAGCGCAAAAGACAACGTTGGCTCTATCAAGAGCAAGATGAGAGAGAGAAGAAGAGAAACTGAAACATACTATGCAAATTGATATTTCAATGGAAAAGTTATGGTATTTCTTCAATAATGTGTAGTGTTGTAATAAACATCCTCCTGCGATTCATCGTTTGCCGTTCTTTTTCAATATCTGTAAAATCGGGTAAAATAATGTGACCTCTCAAATACGGACGTTTATCATCTAGTTCGATAAACTTGACAACCAAACTGCTTAGACTACAACTTTAAGACTTGATCATGTACAAAGTGACCAGATGATACAGCTGGAAAGATTACAAAAAAATTCACCATAAAA